ATTGACTCAGTATTGATTACAGCTTCTGAGCATATGAGTGGTTAAAAGGCATGAAAGTTGTGATTGTTTGAAAATTGAGGAGAGCTTAGCTTCAAGCCAAAGCTGACAACTGTGGACCCAATCTTTAATTTGGAGTTTAGATTTAACTGACTCAATGTTAAAGATTAGGACCCATTTGGCTGAAACCCAAAATCAGCTTTTGGCCAAAAGCCACACCAAAACTGAAAAGCACTTTTGACCAAAAGTACTTTTCGATTTTGGTCAAAACAAACAGTGTTCGGTAATCTTCTTTTGATCAAAATCAAAAACAACTTTTGGTCAAAAGTTTGTCCAATTTCAAAAGCAGCCTCAAGGCTGCTTTTGAGACCAAAAGTACTTTTGCCCTTCACCTTAATCAATCAACCTCACCCACCACCCACTCGAACTTCACCAAATTCAAAACTTCACCCACTCAACACCCCTTTCCGCCATCCACCGTTCCTCTTATCATCAATTCTCTCATCTTTTAGTCCTGATCTTAAATAAAAGTGTCTATTCTCAAATAAAAGATGATCAAACCTTCATATAAAATACTATCAAATACATTTGTATATATACAAGATGATACAGATGTAGTATTGAATGTCCAATTAGTTAGTTGTACTTGCAATGTTAAATACTGAGTTGATCATGAATCAAGGGGAACCTTGATTGAATAAACACAAAAAAATGATGATTAATCCATCTAAAAATGAAAATGAACGATCGATGTTCAAGTTTTGATTCACTCAAAAACACGTTTTACTCATCTTTACCGAACAGTCGAACGGTGAAAGTGGTCAACAATGATCGTTTTGATTTTTTGTTGACCTTTCTGGTTGACTGTTTGGATTTCTCCGTTTACCGAAATTCAGCTTTTCATTTTGCCCCTTGAAAACGGGGCAAAATGAAAAGTTGTTTTTGTGTAACGACTTTTGGCTAAATCAGCCGAACGGGCCCTTACAACTGTGAATTTTTGGTTTAGTTAGCTTAACCCCTAACCAACACCCAATTTGCAACAAAATGCATCACAATTTCAGGATTTTTTGTTTTGTTGCAACACAAAAAAAACAAAATGAGTCACACTCAAAATGTAAATGGAAATGCCCAAATAGCCTGAGGGGTTGCAATGTGCTTGATGAACCACAACAAAGTTCAAATCAAAACAAAATCAAAATGCCACCACAATTTACTTTGCATTTTATAGGGTATAAATAATATTAACAAAGCCCTTAGGTTGAGTGGGCGCAAACAAGGGAAATGAAAGGAAAAAAGTTCCTGGACTATGTCATGTCAATCAGGGTTTTGTAGATTCTATATAAAAAAAGAATTTGCTTAAAAAGTTATGGTTCAAAGAACTTAAATAATAAAATATTATATCTTTAGCTCTTCTTGATCCTCTTTGAGTTGTTTTGTCTCCTGTCTTTTTGATTCCAGCTAAGGGCTCTTTGTATTCAGCTGGGACCTTGATACCTTGATGAAGCCATTGATGGCACTCAACATAATCCTGATTCTTTTTTGGCGCCAGTCCTTGGTCTGCACTGGAAATCCTTCCAGCTGCGGAAAATGTATGTTTGCATGCGCATGACGTAGTAGTACAAGCAAGGTAGTTGCAAGCCAGGCGGTTCCCCACAGGATATAAATTGTGATAATCCCAAGTGCAAATTTGAGAGAGGAAAGAGCAATAAGTTGGCATATATAACATAGGTGAAGTAAGGTACACACTTTCCACCATGCAAGAGGTGCAGCTAATTTTTGAGCAATAGTTCTGTTGTCCAATTATTGTATGAGCTCCATGTTCACATCAGTTGAGTCATTGTCACCTGATCCATTGCTAAATTCATGAAGAATGTCCTCTGAAGTCAGTGGGTTTGATTTAACCGGTGGTGTTCCTTGGTTGCACTTGGTTCTTGGCTTAGGAGATAGATCAGTGGCAACAGCAGCTTCAACAAGGCCAAAAACTCTTTTGACATGATTGGGATGTAATTTCTGAAATAATTGTAGTTGGGCTCTGGGATGCATAGCCGTTGCAATCAAGATTTTGTCACACTCAAGAGCCTCAACTTGATAGGATTGAATTTTCTTCTTCATAGAATCAATGGCCAGGCCAAGTTCTGGACAAAGTGTGGGATGTGCACGTTTTGAGGCATCAAGATGGGTAAGAATGTTGGAATATTCCAAAAGGATATGGTAGGCAGTATGATGGTTTTCTTGCATCGCTATAGTGTTTCCCTTGAAGATCTGATGAATGAAATTCAGTGATAAGATAACTAGGTTAATCATTCAACATAATACATACCTTCAAAACAACAAGAAAAGCTTCCAGCCCGCCTCATTCCTCACCAGAAATACCCATTCCATTGAAGTACTGTTTCTTCTTGTCTTTCTTGCAATCCTAGTTCAGGAACTTATTGGTCACCTGAAAGTTGTCAATTTGAATTCCCAGTTGTCCTCTATATAACAAGCTGAGACACCAAGGAAAGCATATTTGCTTCCATTGGTAGTCCATCCATCATGGACGAGACAAAAGCAACTTTGATTGTTCTTTAGGGTTGAGATTGATTTGTAATGAAGGGACCAAGCTAACAATTTGGATGATTTAGAAATCCAAGTAGGTGATGACAGGATAGCTGATAGGTTAGCCCATGAAAATGCTGCACCAAGTTCATTGTCATTGATCTGGAGCAAAGGTAGAGTGTAAAGGAGGATCCATAAGACCATGACCTTGTTCAAGGTCTCAATTGTAAATTTAACAAATGAGCCAACCGTTGTTTGTTTTGAAGTCAAAGGTAATGTTGGTGGATTCTCCTCTTCCTAAGCTGGTGGACGTGGACATGTTACACTGTTCTTGATGGCAACATGACCTTGAGAACATATTTTACAACTTCTAGACCCATCTCAATGGGTTTCCATCTGACATCCTCTTCTTCAAACTTCTGATTCAAATTCATACCTTCTGGAACCACAATGACCTTTCAATCAATTTGTTCAATAACATAATTAGATCAGGTTGTTTTATTGAGTTGATAAATAAATAGATAACAAAGTTGAACAAGAGAATTTACCTACTGAAGCTCTGCCAAACACTTTTCCTTTTTGGAGGTGCAGCATTTTTGGTACATTGTTACTTTTGAGCTGTATGCAAGTCTCCATGCCCTGCAGAAGAGGGTTTATCTTTATGCGTCTGGGTTTGAGTCAATTTTAAAAGTTCTTTGTCTTCATTGTCAGGATTCATGATTGTTGTTTTGGATTTGGATTTGTGACAATTTGAGGATTGACTCCGCTGCCTTCATCATCATTGTCTGGATTGTTGGCATTGGGTGGGTAAGATAGGATCTGGACATGTGCAAAATCTTAGACCATCAGATGAGTCAATAAAGAAATTATCATCTTTCTGAGAAAGACTATGTGGCCAAAGGGTGCGTCCAGTGCCTGGGACTTTTAACAATGAGGAGGTAGAGTTGAGTACATCAGAACTGGAGAGTTTGGAAGCGGAGGGTGCAAGTATTGAAGAATTGTTTGCCAATGTTTCAAGGATAATCGGAAATGCTGGAATACAACAGATGGTCTGAACTTGAACATCCTTTAATCTTGGGTGGCTATCAGAATCAAATATCTTATTATACATCATTGGAAACAATCCTCACTCCAGTTCCATATGGAGTGACCATTTTCAAAGCTTTCCCTGTCACTTTCCAAAAACCTTCAACCAAACAAAACAAATTGAATTTGGTTGTAAATTTTGGTTCATCCCTTCTTGTTGCAATTTGATTAAACAAAAATGGGTTTTTTGCAATCTGATTTTGTTGCGGGAGGACCAAAATGAAATTGTGGTTGCATTTAAGCCCTTAAGTTGCACCAAAACTGCAACACAACAGAAATATGTTTTGGTGCAATTTGGGTGTTGCCCTAACTTACCTAAGTCCAAATCTTGTTCCTCATCCACTTGAAGTTTGCAGGACCAAGGAAAAAGGTACTTATATCAAGTGTGACTGTTCATGGTGACCAGCACATTGGGCTTTTGGTGGGAGGACCTTATGACGTAACCAACAATGTTTCTTACTTCATTTGCAACATTTTCTATCAATCAACTATGTTCCCTTTCAGCCTTTTTTGGAATTTCATTCCTTTTACTGTTTTTGTTTTTGTAATCACAATCAAAATTTTGCATTGAGCTCAAAAAAAGCAACTTTCAAATTCTGATTGCTGTAAGTTACATACACAAAAAAGGATTGTATATAGTGAAAGCTTGTGAACTGTCCCATTCAAAATTGTGAGGCTTCTTAATTTTGGTTTTCAAGATGCACAGATGTCACAGATAGTGGTTGAGCAGTCATCCATAGTCAAATTTAAAATTTCAAAAATGCTCTTTTTGAGCTCAATACTATGTGTTTATTGTGATTACAAAAACCAAAAAGAAGTAAAAGAAATAAGGTTCCACAACAGTTTAGAGGGGAACCTAGTTGATTGATTGAAAATGTTTCAAATGAATGAAGAAAGTTGATGGTTACATAAGGTCTCCCACCAAAATCCCAATTGTGACCAAGAAAAGTCACACTCAATATGAGTCCCTATCCCTTTGGCCCACAAACTTCAAATGGATGAGGAACAAGATTTGGACTTAGTTAAGTTAGGCTTAAACCAGGCTAAAGATTTGTAATTTTACCCTCATAACTAATCCAAACTTGATGCAGACAAAAGCCAATGCTCTAAAGGGATAGTAATAGCAGATGAGTCAATATATACCCAGCTTCTGGACTGGCAAAACACTAGCTGTTTGGCTCCCATGTAGAGAATTATTAATATGTATATCATTGTACCTAGTCATGGAAGAAGCCACAGATAGCGTTCTCAAATCCAGCATCATTGACACCACTTACTGGCCACTGAAGGGAAGACAAGGGGACTTGTCAAGAGCCCATAGTGACTGTAGACATCTGCAAATTGCAGTTCCGGTACGTCAAATCGACCCGACCCGCCAAGCTGGTGTGTCCGAGCGGTCCAAGGAGCCAGATTTAAGTGTCCAACATTGAGAGTGTAGATTCCTGGTAGGGCAACCTGCGTGGGTTCGAATCCCATCGCCAGCAACAACGTTTTGACACCTCTGTCGGCAATGTCTTTTTGGGATGTTCAACGAACAGAGCTGGTGAGTCATGACACCTATCAATGTTTGGAAGGGTCAAGGCAGCGAGACAGTAGGGACGAAAATCCTTGCATCAAACGACAGGCCCGATAGTGTTACATGGAAGAGGTATCAATTGCTTTGCTAGATTTGGCTATCGTAGAATTGTGGATGCAGCAATTGTATTGCACGCAGCACAATCAATCAAGCATTGGGAAGTGCGTCGTGGAGAGAGAACAGATTGTGAATGAGATCACCAGAAAATATACAGCTAATGCCTGCCTAAACGCTGTTACACAGATCATTCACTAATCGACCATGAAGGACGAGGCAAAAAACGGTGAATAGGATCACGAAAAAGCCTGTACACCAGTCATTGCTTTCCCAAGAATCAGTGCATGTATATCCTGTATTCAGAATCAAGTCATGAATGATATCAGCCTGTGATCGTTCCAGTAAGACGAGCGCGCAATGAAAGACCGACATGAGTGCCCTCATATGTGTTTGCGACCTGAAGGTTAGCAGCAATTCGACCAATATGATACTCATCTGATACCGCATTTCCACCTAAGATATCCAACAATATCCGAGCGTGTTGTAATGCTTTACCGCAGTTATTACGTTTCAATAAACTGACCATTTCGGCTATTGGTATCGGAAAAAGGCACGTCAGGCCAAGTCGAGATCAAGATAAGTAAGAAATGTTATGAACTGACGGCACCACGTTCCCTGGTCCTTCATTCGACCTAGTTGAATGGAGGCGCAAAGTCCAAGAACTGCCTCGGTGTTAGCATCAACGAGCTTTTTCTGGACAAGTTGAAAACTAGCCAAAGGCCTGTTAAATTGCACTCTCTCCAGAGCGTATTCTCGCGCTCGTTTGACGCAATCTTCCAAGGCTCCAATCACTCCAAACGATATACCAAGCCGTGCACTATTGAGACAAGAGAACGGTCCTTTCAAGCCAGTAACTTTCGGAAGCATATTACCAGAAGGAACAGGCACCGAGTCCATAAAGATGGACCCTGTAGTGCTTGCTCGTAGTGCCAGCTTATGTTGGATCTTAGGAGCCGATAGTCCGGGCATCCCCTGATACAATCACGTCCAAAACATGTAAAAGTGGTGAGCATAGGCTGCAAAAGTCGGCAACTCATGACCCACCTTCTCTAATATGAACCCCCTTATCTTGCCGTCCCATTTACACTTGGCCCAAATGATGAACACATCGGCGATCGGCGAGTTGGTAATCCAAGTTTTACTTCCATTCAAGACTGAAGAGGTATGGCAAGTTGAGCCGGGATTGAAAAAACGAAATCTGATGGCACATACCAAAACCCCCGCTACCGTCAGTCGCTTCCATGGCTGTGGTCAACATTCCAGCGGGATCGGATCCATGACTAGGTTCAGTGAGTCCAAAACAACCAATCATGTTACCACTAGCCAACTCCGGTAGATAACGCTGCTTCTGTTCTTCGCTCCCGAATTCATCTGGACATAGTCGATCATCACTTTCAGTCATGCGTCAATGAGTGCTCGGAGTTGAGAAAATGGGATGCTTACTGATGGGATGCATAACCAAAGACGACTGTACGCTCATCGCCGATCTATAACCTGAATCTACACGTTCAACTTCACGTGCCAGTAGACCGTATGCGACGGTCGACACCTGAATTCATATTGATGTGTCAGGCTAGCTGGTCAAATCTATTTGGTGAAGACACGTTATGACGGTAAAATGATCTCACACCAGCACATCCATAACCTGATATGGTAGGTCCAAGAAAGCCAAGTTTTCCCATTTCAGACATCATTGTTGAGTCAAAGGCTATAATGATAAGATATACCGGACCGGTCAGAGACAATCAAGCTTAGGTTCTAGGGATTAAGAAACGAGGCACACTGACTCTCATTCCTATGACCCTCCATCACCCTTGGCATCAGATTTGTTTGACAATATTCATGACTTGCATCCCTGGAGGAACGAGCTCATATGGTAACAGATTAGGACACTTGATGGTAACTTTAGATAACAGAGTCTACGAGTTTATCTTTTAGGGACGGGAATAACTTGCTTGATTGCAATTTCTTCTTCATTCAATAAACTTTTCTCAAGTCGTAAAGGGTCTTCCCAATCGTAAGGTACAAATGAAGTTGATTTACTTTCTGAAGTTGGTGGGTTTATTGAAAAAGGTCGTAAATCATGAGTTGAAGTGATCCTAAATCGATTGAAGTTCCTGATCGGCTTTGAGAGAACACGAATTGACATGGTTTAAGGGAATAATCTGATGAAGTGTTTGTGTTTGACAAGAAGTTGAGAAAGTTCGAAGGAAGGAAGCAAATCCAATGTAATCTCAACTGACGTCACCTGGTGCATACATCCAATTCGTCGGACCTCGGTGCGTATGGGGATGTACTGTTGCAGGTACCGAGTATCTCGGGCCTTCCTCAACAATTGTCAATCACGATGCAACCTTTCCGTCGCAAAATGTGTAAATTTCAAGTCAACATGGAGTCTGAACCACTTACTTCGATATCTACTGGCACTCATATCAAAATTCCCGCGAGAAAACCCACCCGACTAGCAACAACAAAGTCATTGAAATCATCTCTATCTCGGAATTTGTTACGATGTGCCAAGTGGTAAGTGAAAGTTGTACTGATGACCAAGAGTCACGAAGTCAGGTCAGTTGTAAAAACTTCGTTCCATTTATGTCTATGACTGAATGAATGTTTATGGATTTAAAACGCGGCTTAGGTCATCAGATGGTTCTACAATTATAACAGAAGCAGAGGATCGAGTGATTAGGCTTTTTGATTGGTAAGCTTGATTTTATACCAGTGAGGTAGCTGAGGATAAGACTAACAGATTGTCTTCCATTCGTGATACATCCAGTCCTCCAGCGGCAGAGATCGAGAGCTCGGACGATCCCCAGGAAGTACTTCCTGAAGAATGGACATCACGCAAGGAAATCACAGCCGCTGATGCTGTCTTATCTACGTGCTGGTTCCCACATTCGCGTTCGGATGACCCAGCCAGGTATTGCTTTGCTACAGCTGTCAAAGATCATCCGATTCATCTTCTGGACGCAACAGATGGAAGGGTCAGCTCGTGTTTTATGTTGCATACTTCTCCTAGCCAAATGCCCCTGATTTCTTGGACAGGTGCGTTTGACTTGAATTTTGCTCTGATAACTGACTTGAAGTGGACTCGTCAAGATAGCTTCGAGCGTCATATCCTCTTGTGGATCATCGGGAGCAAATGGTCGCCCCACACTCTATGCTATTTTCTCAAGATGGCACTAGGTAGGCGATGTCCATCAAATTTTGTTCACCTTTCAAGAAATTTACAAAGAATGATGTCAACAGTTTATATGCAAGTCACGAATGCGCTATTGAAATCTTTGATATATCAAGACCTGGTTGCCCGGGTGAACGTTACAAAACCTCACCTACGCGCCGAAGTCGAGACGGTCAAAAAGGTAAACTAATTTGTTCATCTATCTCCCTTTTTTGTGGTGAAATTTCTTCAAGATGTTTATTGTGTTTCATTAGGTATCATCTCGACCTTGGCTGCCGATCCAACACACACCGGTCTTTTGGCTGCAGGCTCTTTTTCTGGTCAGATTGGCATTTATGATACTTTAGCTAGCGAACTTTCTCCGCAAATGATCTTTCATTCCGCAGAACACACTGGAATCACACAGGTACGTTCGATTTTGGAAATCTAGGCGCAAACCAAACCAACAAGATCCTTGAACCAATCACTTATCCTTACCTCCTGCCTAATCTGTGTTCAGGTCAAGTTCCATTTACTCAATGAACGAGTCTTATTCACAGCATCTCGAAGAAGTAATTCCATCGAATGTTGGGATCTTCGATACGCTGCGGCTTGTTTTCACACTTTTCATCGTCCTGGTCATACCAATCAACGTCTTAGCTTTGATATTGACTATTCCGGATTCAATTTGGCTACAGGCGCCCAAGTATGTTTTTCAATACTGAATCATCAAACCAAGGATCTGAACTGATGTGGCTAATAATTGTTTAGGATGGAAAGATTAGAGTATATAGGTTAGACCATTTAGATAGCGAACCTGTGCTGAAGATGACATTACATTCAGGTTATTTCAGATCCCCCCTCACTCTATATACATCTCTGCTCGGTAGTAAAATTATATAGCCCTATGGACTTACGATTCTTTGTTCTTTTGACAGATGTTATTGGTAGTGTAGCATTCAGCCCAGCCGGTTGCAGTATTGTCAGTTGCTCGGGATCTCGGAAGAATAAATTTGATGAAGCCCAACATATCAATGAGATTGATGTAGATCACGATCTGTATGGTGGGCCACCTGAAAGGAAAAATGATACAGAATTGGCCATTTGGAAGTTTAATTATGTATAGACAACATTCACTTGATTGTAATCAATATCATTGTATTGGCAAAAGATTGGAATTGATTAGATGAAAATTTGGATTTTATTTATCTGATGTTGAAGAGTTGATCTCTACTTTGGCCCACTGTGTGAAGGGGCGGTAGAATTCAAACCTTATATATATCAGTTTTGTGCGATTTGATCAACACTTCTTGTAGAAGTGTGAAAAGTATGAGAATTACAACCTTGATTGAATTATCACAAAGCATACCAACAATCAACCTGCAATGACCAACGGCTCAAAAGGTGAGATGTTGACCACAAGGTTGTCTGTTAAAGACGTCATTCCTGGATCCTCATACGTATGAATGAGGTCATCATAGTTGATATGTTGCTCTCTTAAGAACGCTACAATCTTTATTTGCTTTACCATGATTATTTCAACTGAGACCTCAATGCGCATGGATCCAGTCCCCTTGGTCCCAAGGCAAAACTTGACAAGAGGGAACAAAAAGTCTAAAACAAAACTAAGAAACCAAAGGGAACCTTGGAAGTCAATAAATAAAGCAATATTGAGAAGGAAGCGATACGAA